TGTAACCGTTAGATCATCATGTAACCGTCGGAAATAGTTGATTTAACGGTTACAAATCCTGACAGAAAGTTTAATGTGGTTTTCTTGTCCTGTTACTACTTTGGAGTTTTTCATAAAACTAAAACGACCTACAGAACCATTTCATCGGGTTACAAGATTTGTAACCGTTAGATCATCGTGCATCCGTCGGAGATAATTTATCTAACGGTTACACATCCCGACGAAAAAGGTTCGGGACAATTCCGACAGAATGATTTCGTAACGGAACTATAGCATCTCCTTTATTGTATTTAGTCAACATGACCCCTCCACAAAAGTTGAACAAGACTACTCAAATTTGGACTACTTCCAGCCTTTACTACTTGACAACATAAATTACTTAATTGAATTGCTCACGAATATTACCTTTGGAAATGCGTAGCCCTAACCAAACCCTAGATCCACCTTACCACCACCCCCATCTCGTCAATCACGCCGACGTCGCCGCCCCCGCAAAGAGACGGTGCTTCCCCTGATCCAAATCCGGCCGCATCACAAAGGTTCGCGACCAGGTACAAAGAGTGCCTCGAGAACCACGCGGCGAGCATGGGGGCCGTTTTCGTGGACTGGTGCGGGAATTCATGACCGGCGCACGTTGAGAACACCCTAGAGGCCCTCTAGTTCGCCGCTTGCAATTGCCACCATAACTTCCACCGGAAAGAGCCCAGCGGTGGGAATCCAGGCCGCCGCTGCTCTGGCGCTAACAAAAACAGCAGCCACCGCATGAATCTGTACTCGGCGCCACCAAACTTTAGGCACCACTTCGCCCCCACCACTTTGTTTTACTTGCTCGGTAATTTCTTCACTTTGCATTTTTTTTTTTTTTTTTCGTTCGTGTTTGTGTATTTTCTCAATTTCAGTTACTGAAGGAAAGTTGTTTGCTTAAAACTTATAAATTAGAATATGAGAAATGATTCAATATTCTGAGGTTGTATAGTTGAGGCGACCATTAATTTTATATTTTTGCTAACTAATAATAGTAATGTAAAATACTAAAAAAATAATTTCTATTTTCATAAAAATTATATTATATAATATTTAAAATAGTTAATATCATATTTGTTCTTTAGTTTTATATATTTCACAATTATTATGTAAAATATACATATTATTTATGGTATTTTTATTTACAAGAAAAGGAAGAACTAAATAACAACATTACTAATAGAGATTGAAATAACATTAATACATGATAGATGATGGTTTAAAAAAAACATTTGAATAACGAATGCTTAAATGAAATACAACATCACACAATACTAAAATGAAAATCCATCATAAACCCAAAAACTAAAAACAAACACTATAATTT